TTTATTTACTTGCTTGTTTTTACCTGCTTGTACCCTCTAATAGCTCCTTCCAGCTCGTATTTTTCCCATCCTTGGATGTCAGGAAGCTGCAGCTGTGGGTCCTGCCCTCCTCGCACACATCTGTAATTCTCAGTCCCGCTGTCCTCCCCTGCCTAGGAATTTACTGTTGTTTTGACAATTTTATGTGCAAACATATTTAAATCCCTCTGACCTCAGCCTCCTGAGCTGATTGAATTTTGCTTTAACTTTGGTCTGGCAATTTCCATTCCCATGTTTTTATGCAGAATGCCAGGGTTTCAGCTTGTGATAAAACCGAGACAAAAATAGGTTTGTGTCCATGCTGAATTTCTGTGGGAGCAGAGGGGCTCTCGTTCCTCTCAAGGTACCTTGTTCCTTCCCGATGTGGTTTAGTGGGCATGGTGGTGTTTAACTTGGATTTGATGATCTTGGAGGTCTCTTCCAGCCTTAATGATTCTGCGATCTCTGGGGTCAGGGAGTGCCTTCCATCGGGTTTGTGTTGGTTCCCTTTCTGAGCTGCCCTTCTGGCTTTCCCAGACAGGGGCTTTTTGCAGCCAATTCCTTTTGTTCCCTGTAATTTGTCTCCTTTTGCTGGGGAGCCTTTCATGGGGTGGTTTCCCATTTTGATAAGAAGTTTTCTGTGCCGGCTCTTTTCTGCCTGTGATCAGACAGGAATTTCTAGATACAATCTCTGTGCTTTTGGTAAAAGGCAGCGCTAAACGCCCTTGACATTTAACCTCACCTCCCTGGCCCAGCTGTCTTTAGTGCTTACATTCTGCACAGGTTTCCCTTTTGAGGATTAGAGCTGCAGCTACAAATCCCTGGGGTTTATTCTCCCACTTCATTTAAACCCACTCAGCCGCTGACTGTCGGGGTTATTTCCATCCTTAGATCCGGCTCACCACCCCCATCCAAAACTGATTTTAAGGACAACATCAGGCTTTACTCCTCCCATGACAAGGTGCTAGAGATTCCTGCACCCACATTTCCCCTTCCCTGCCCCGGCAGAGCCGGGCTCTGCACCAGCAGCAGCCAGAGCATCTCCCTGGGACACCAGGGCTTTGGTTTGGGTATGAGTGAAAATTCCTTTGCTGACAAGTTCATGCCAGGAGGTCAGTCAGGACACTGGGGCATTGGTGTGTTTGGAGCTGGGCAGAAATCCCCATTTTCCAGGTGTGGTTGGCAGCCAGGGATGTGGTGCCAGTATCCCTCTGCCCAGAACATTCCTGGTATTTTTGAAGCCAGCCTGACTTAAAGCTCTGCTTTAAACTCCCTGGGTCTGGCTGTGCTGGCTGCCTGGAGCTGGTGGCTCTGCAGGGCACACGGGGTCCGGCACACACAGCCCTGGCACGGGCACAGCAGGAGCTGCTGGGCACTCTCTGCTCCTCCTCCTCTGCTTTGGGAAACAGAACTCAGGGAGAATTCCCCACCGCAGCCACGGGAATGGCACACAAAGTCACGCCTTGCCATTAGACTTGCAGATTCTTTTTCCACAAGCACCCTTGGAAATCTGAGCAGGCCTGGCATTGTAGGGCTGGGGTCCCAGGAAAGTGCAGAACAGAGAGTGCTGCCCTTGCCCACACATCCCTGCCTCCCAGTGCTCCCAAGGAGTCATTAATAAATTGTAATTTGAATGAACCAGCCTAGCGTGCTTCTGCAAAACCAGCTGGTTTTGTTTTCTCTCTATAGACCTGAACATTTTCATGAATAAAGATTTGCCAAGAGTTTTAGAACTTGAAACTAGAAATAGATCCGTCTCTCCGGTGCCTTGATCTAATAACGTATTTAAAAATGAGATTTTTTGCAAGAATAATACATGAAATCACCGCCTTCGCTTCCAGCCTCAATGCTGCCAGGAATCTGTGACTTTATGCTACCTTAAGCACCTATAATTAAGTTGAGATCCAATGTTTCCTAGGGAGGCACGATCCCAGCACAATCCCTGCTGGTTTGGGTAGGGTATTTTGCTTTTTAATGAAATATTGTACTGACTGAGGGTGTTCATTTGCCTGATTGTTGGGAAGAATGGTGCTCATCTGCAGCAAGAGGAACTCTTCCTTTCCTAGGAAGCCACAGGCACGAGGATTGACTCCTAAATTCCCAAGAAAATGATGCTGTTAACTTAAGGTGGCCAGAAAAATGACTTTTGTCATCATTGCACAACACATTTGAGCCAGGCTGAAATTATCCGTGAGGAGCAGGCTGTGATTGCTCAGAACATGAAGGTTTGGGAGAAGCTAATGAGCACTAAATCAAATTATTGTCACACTTTTAAAACAGCCATTAAAATACAAAATCAAGGAAATCCTGGTAGGTTCCTGTTTTCTCTGAGTCTCTTGTTTGATCCCAGTTCCTGTTTCTCCTGTTGAAGTCAGGGTTGCTCTGTGCAGGGACACAACCTCCTTTCCCAGGGGAACATTCTGGGCTGGGAGCATTTGCTGAGGTGTTTCCCTGTTCCCTTGAGTTTCCCTTTTCCCTCTGTTGATTTCTCTTTTCCTTCATGCTGGTTTCCCTTTTCCCTCTGTTGATTTCCCTTTTCCTCTGCTGATTTCCCTTTTCCTCTGCTGATTGATTTCCCTTTGCCCTCTGCTGATTTCCCTTTTCCCTCTGCTGATTTCCCTTTGCCCTCTGTTGATTTCCCTTTGCCCTCTGCTGATTTCCCTTTGCCCTCTGTTGATTTCCCTTTTCCCTCTGTTATTTTTCTTTTCCCTCTGCTGATTTCCCTTTTCCTCTGCTGATTTCCCTTTTCCTTCTGCTGATTTCCCTTTGCCCTCTGTTGATTTCCCTTTTCCCTCTGCTGATTTCCCTTTTCCTCTGCTGATTTCCCTTTTCCCTCTGTTGATTTCCCTTTGCCCTCGTGTTGAGCTCCAGCAGCTGCTCCTGGCTGGGACAATCCCTGATGTCCCCTGAGCAGCCCCAGCAGGTCCAGGTGTCCTCCCTGTGTCCCTGGCCCAGGAAAGCAGATTTGGGCTTTTCAGCAGAGTGACCCAAACCCCACAGAGGCAGTGTTGTGGCTCTGTCCCCCTTTCCCAAGCCACACCGAGGTTACAAACTCCACAGTAACTTAAAACTTCAGTTTCTTAAATCTGAAATCAATGTTGTGTCTCACACACGTCTGCATTTCTGCCTAATTTTGCTTTCTTTCTGTGGAAAAAGCCTTGTTTGTGCTTTGGTCGGTTGAGCAGAGCTTTGGAGCATCATGCAGCCTCCAGAGGATCCTCCCCGTCCTTCCTCTTCCTCACCGGAGCCAGCTGCACATCCCTGGGATGCTCCTGCATGGAGAGCAGCCTCATCTCCACCTCTCCCCTTCCAGCACCCCGCTGCTGTGGTGGGAAGTGATGTGGGGTATTCCCTCTGCTCCTGCTCCTGCTCCTGTCCCTGTCCCTGCTCCTGTCCCTGTCCCTGTCCCTGCCCCTGCTCCTGCTCCTGCTCCTGTCCCTGTCCCTGCCCCTGCTCCTGCTCCAGTCCCTGTCCCTGTCCCTGCTCATGCTCCTGTCCCTGTCCCTGTCCCTGTCCCTGTCCCTGTCCCTGCCCTGTCCCTGTCCCTGTCCCTGTCCCTGTCCCATCCCTGTCCCATCCCTGTCCCTGTCCCTGTCCCATCCCTGTCCCTGTCCCTGCCCTGTCCCTGTCCCTGCTCCTGCTCCTGCTCCTGCTCCTGTCCCTGTCCCTGCTCCTGCTCCTGCTCCTGTCCCTGTCCCTGCCCTGTCCCTGTCCCTGTCCCTGTCCCTGTCCGTGTCCCTGTCCCTGTCCCTGCTCCTGCTCAGCACTGCGAAACCTCAGCACCCCAAACCCTTTTTATGCTGAAGGTGTCACCAACTTCACGGATTTAAATGCCAATTAAAAGTGTAACACGGCTCAAATTCCACTTTACTTTTAAAACGTGGTTTGGGTTCTCCAGCACCCACGGCGTGTTTGTCAAGGTGTTGAGTAATTGGTTTTAAGGCTGGAAACATTCATCTGCATTAGCAAAAGTTTAGCAGCTGGGTAAAGAAACTTCATAACTTTTTATTTGGGGAAATATTTGTCTGCTATTTCTCTTGGACTCGTGTTTGCCCAGTATTAACCTGGAAAGCAATTGCAGGTGGAAAAAAAACCCCTCAAAATTGGCCAGGAGCTGGTGTGTGCTCAGCCATTCCCTGCACATCCCTGCTTGTCAACTGCCTCCCATTTTTTTTCATTAGTTTCTTGTTATAGTCGAGATATGGTCAATGATCTTTTGAGCTTGGTAATTTTGTTAAACCTTTTTTATGAGGAGTATTGAATTGCTGCATTGAGATGGGAGCTTGCTTCCGTGCAAGATTAATTGGGACCGGTATTTCATTTTGCATAGCACTATTCAAAGCTAATAAAAAGGCTCAGAATAATGAATTCTAAAGTCAAATTATAATGAAAAGCCACAGGTGATTGTTTCATTAGGCTGGATGCAGGAGAACTGTGTCTTCTCTTAACTTTGCCTGTTTGTATTGGCTGCCCTGGGGGAAGTAAACAACTTCCAAATGGGTTTGATGTTTCTGAGAAATGTTTTTTCTTCTGGAAAGACTTCAATAATTAAAAAGATGTGCCTTCTTAAAAGTTCACTGAAGCACAAAACTATTGCTTTAAAACATTCTTTGTTCAAAATTGTTACCTTGAGTGATATTCATGGGAGGAAATTGCCTTCAATGGAGTGAACAAAGCCCTTTCCTCAGCCAGGTTCCAGTGCCTCCCTGCAGAAATGCTTTGGAGCGGGAGAACTCCAAAAAGCTGGGCCCGGTGGGAGTGTGATGGAGCTGGTGCTGTGCACAAAGTGCAGCTGAGAGCAGTGCTGGGGGCAGCTCAGAGCTCTGTCCCAGCCCCACTCCAGATGAAACTCTGCTGTCTCTTGCATGACTGTTTGCTGTCTCATTCTGTACTTGTCTTCCATGTGTGATTAACTCCCAAATGTTCTCTTTTTTTTTTTTTTTTTTTTTTTTTTTTTTTTCTTCCTTTTTCCCTTTTTGTAGAAATTATTGAGCCTACTACCTCTAGTCGTGTCTCAAGCCCAGGTCAGTATCCCCCGCAGGAGGGTCGGTGCCTGCAGGGCCCCGCTGCCATCGGTGCCCGCGCTGACCCGGGCAGCTGTGTTGTGGTAGTGCTGGACTGTCCCTCCGTCTTTGTGCTCCCATTGGTGTCTCTTCCCTCCAGCCTTTGTGTCTTGTCCTCTTTCTCCCTGTTTTGAGCAGCCTCTCCCGCATCCCTGTCCCTGCCATGGGTCTCTCCCGGTGGGGGTGTGCAGGGCTCCGCTCCCTGCGGGCAATTCCCGCTCTGGAACCTCCTCTCCCTCTGATTCCTGCTGATGTTGTTGCTCATGTGGGTGTTGGTTTGAGGATTTGCAGATTTCTCGCTGCCTCATCACTGACTGACTGTGGGATGGAGCCAGGAGCTGTTGTGAGGGGCCAGGAGGTGTTTGTGGCAGCTGAACTCTCTCCTTGTGCCTGGCAGGCGTTAACAGGTCCTGAGTGCTTGTGGTGCATCCCTGTTTTCTTGGGGATTGCCTGTTGTTCCCCAGCAGGACACCCTCAGTGGAGCTGGTCACAGAATCTTGGAATGGTTTGGGTTGGGAGGGACCTCAAATCCTCCCATTCCCACCCCAGCCATGGCAGGGACAGCTCCCACTGTCCCAGGCTGCTCCAAACCCATCCAGCCTGGCCTTGGGCACTGCCAGGGATCCAGGGACAGCCCCAGCTGCTCTGGGAATTCTATCCCAGGGCCTCACACCCTGCCAGGGAACAATTCCTGCCCAAATCCCATCTGGGAGACAAAAACAAGCAGAATTTTCCTCTGGCAAAACCTTCACCAGATGTGTACTTTTACTTCCTAACTCAGATTAAAAAGTTGGAAGGGCTGTGCCAGAAAGCCACAGAGAGTGAGGTGATTAAACCAAGTGAGGTGATTAAACCAAGTGAGGTGATTAAACCAAGGGTTGCAGAAGGAAAACCAGGCCCAGGTGATCCCTCAGACCTACAGGAGCAGCAGGACAAGTGTTTGAATCTCCAGTGCTTTAATTACAGAGCTTAGGGAGGGCAGGCTCCGCTGTCACTCGGTGTCACTCGGGGGCAGAGGTGCTGCCTCCCTGCCTGCCCTGGGCAGCTCCCCAGAGCTCCCCATCTCCCCTAGGGCAGAGGCTGTGCCCTGTCTCCATCTCCTTCAGGGCAGAGATTGTCCTGTGGCTGCAGCCAGAGGCACAGCAAAACCTCTGAGCTGCAGGAGCAGCCTCCATCCACCCCCACGGGAGGGGAGAGAGGCTGCCCTGCAAACAGCTGATAGTGCTTGCAATAAAAATCCTTATCCTTGGGATTTTCCACAGTCACTCTGGACAACTGAGCGGTTGGAAATAAGCTGGGGAATTATTTCTGGAGTTAAGAGAAGCTGAGAAGAAGGAAGGAGTCGCTGCTGTGCCGGGTGTGCACAGTGGCGATAGGAGAACCCCACTCTGAGTCTGCTTTAACAGCGGGGTTTGTAATTCCTGAAAAAGTGCCCTCAGCCTGATCCTGTCCCAAGCTCTGTCCAGGGACAGAGGGATAACGCTGGCAGCTTGGAACAGGCTCCAGTAACATTTCTGGGTTTAATCTCTGTGAGTGAGTGCTCCAACAGAGTCACAGCCGTTCCTCACTTTCAAAAACTGCTGTTCAAGTAACACAGCTCTGAGATGTGTTTGGATTCTTGTCTGCAGAAATTTGCTCCAAATGAGCAAAATTATGTGTATTTTTGGGAGCAGGATGGAGATGGGGCAGTGGAAAGGAATAGAGTCCTTTAATGATGATCCCTCTCCTCATTCTGAAAGCACGGTGCTAGGTAGAGAGGGCTCTTTCCAAACATGAAATTGAGAATATGAAAACCTCTGAACACAATAGAAGAAAAATTTGTAAGTCATTAAAGCTGCAATAGTTATGAAACTACATGAGTAAATCCAACTTTAAATTACCAAGGAAAGTACCCTGAGCTCAATTTGCAGTTAAAAACCAACATCTGTTCTGCTGAAAGACAACAGAAAAGGGGAGGAGGGTTTCAAGACAGCTCTCAAAATGGTTGAAAATTTATTATTGAGTCTGTCCTCCTGGAAATGAGCTCTGGTACCAGCAGTGGCATTGCACTGAACTGTTCTGTTTGCCTTCCATAATTAAATAACACTGTGATAGTCCCTCTACTTGGCTAATTTTAGCCTGGTAAATAGCTGGAAAATGCCAGCGCTATTGTTACCAAGTTATTCAGCTGCAGAGGCAATGAAAAACTTCCCAGAGTGGGGGGAACAGAGTCCCTCGTGTGCTGCAGCACCAGCAGGGAGAGCAGCAGGTTGGGCTGGGAGATGGTGGCAGAAAACCTGGGTTACCCCTCCATAGCTGCTGTGACAGTAAAATTAGATTTATCATAAATCACAGAATGGTTTGAGCTGGAAGGGACCTTCAAATCAAGCTCCAGCCCCTGCCACGGGCAGGGACAACATTTGGGACTTGGTTTAAAGCCCTCCCGGGAGGTTTTGGCCAAGAGGGCTTTGGGTCTGTCTGCCTGCCCCGCTTCCCCCATGCAGGAATACAAACCATGGATGAATAATCTGTAGGAACTCACTTCACCCTCGTGTCTCACATCGGCCAGAAGGCAGAGCATCAGCCTCCTTCCTGCTCAATCAAGGCTCTGCAGCTAATGAGCTAATTACCAGCATCCCTCAGCACTCCAGTGCAGCTTCAGGGGATGTGCTCTCTGCAGGTTTGCTGCTGGAAGGACACAGATCCTTTGTAGGGTTTCGGTGCTGAGGCAGAGGTTGTGAGAACACCCCAGTCTGTCTCTGAGTGCAGCTGGCACAGGGAGAGCTGGAGACCAGGGCTGTCCCAGAAATGAAGGCAATGACTGACGGGATGTTCGATGTTCCATCACCACTACTTCAGTTTCCCAGGATCTTCCTTGGAGACCAAGCTGGGCAGTTACTGTCTGCAGAAAGTGAGGAATCTGTAGCAATCCTGGAGAACTTTCAGGATCCCCCCCCAGTTCCCAAAGCATTTAAAACATTTTTAATTCATGCAAAGCAGCGCCGTGTTCGAGAGCCCCGGTGACACATTTGTGCATTTTTCTGCTGGAGCCTTTTTCCACCCCCTTGGGATTTACTTTCCTCATTTGAAGCGACGATGCTTCAGGCATGTAGAATTAGCTGCAGAAAGTTACAAAATTGGGGCCACGCTCGGTATCTGTGTTTCAGGCAGCGCCAGGAGCCGGAGCTCCTTACAAATCTTTCCTCCTTCAGCATAATTAGCTCACAGGTGGTGTCTTGAAAAGCCTTTGAAGATGTTGCTGAATTCTTAACGCTGACTAAACAAGTAACTGTGACAGGTCAGAGAGAATAATTGAGGAATCTTCTTTAATTAATGATTTCACATCTTATGAGGCACTTTTATAAAAATTGGAGCCGGAGAGAGAAGGACCTTAAGTTATTTAATTTTCTCAGGAACAAAAGCGTGTGTTTAAACGAGCACTTGGGCAGGTTGGACAACTCCTTGAACTTCACTTGCTTCTCCCTGCTCTGCCTTTCTGCATATCTAACACATTTAATATGCCAGAATACCGAATAATACTTCAATTCGAGCAGGCTCTGTTTGTTTCATGGGAAACCTGCCAACCCCTCCAGTTTTCCTCCTCTTATGCAGTTGCAAATCCCATTTAAATCAATCAGTGGTTTTGTGCAAGGAGAATCTGCAAGGCTGGACTCTGAATTTCGGAATTTACAGTGCTTTTCTCCCATTAGTTCTGTCTGTTGGTGAGGAACGCGCCGTGCTCCTGCAGCTGGAGGACTTTGTGTGTCAGCAGGAGGAGCAGGGAGGAGCCCTGGGGCAAGAGCCAGAGCCAGTTGTGCCTCAGCAGCCAAGGAAGCTGCTCTTGCTTCTCCCTCTTTGTGCAATTCCTTCCAAAACGCCAACGGGGCATGAAAAGGGGATCCAGATTTCGGGTAACAGATCCTGGATGACTGCAAATTTAACTTCTGAATCCTGTTAGGGGAGGGTGTGTGTTTGTTCTAAGAGCTCGTGATGCTTGGTGGCCACTTGGTTGCCTCCCAAATGCCCCACCTGGGAGGGAAGGCAGAGTCTCCCATCCCTGAACACCAGAGGTTCTTCTGTCCCAGGTGCCAGGTATAAAACACCCAGAGGGTTTTTTATCAAGTGCTGCTGTGAGGAGTTTGGCATCAGACAGGTGAATATCTCGAAATTATCAATATATGAAAGCTCCTGGTTAATCAGCCGAAAGCGTTTCGTTGGGAGCATTGCTGCTGCATTTCAGAACGCGGGCAGGTGTGAAACTCCAGCGTGCTTCCCTGTGCCAGGAAAAGCTGCTTTGTGTGTGCAGCCAGCTCCGCGCACCTGCACCGTTAATTCTGTGTTTCTGCGGGAACCCGCGGCCGGGGAGCGCTGGGAATTATATCCCGTGGGAAATAGCTGCCTTCCAGCGCTATTTCCAGTGTCACCTGCTGCCACAAACAGGTGAACTCCGTGTTTGCAAACCGTCCCGTGAAGGCACAGCCTCGGAGCCAGCGTGTGGAATTAGGTAAACATTCCTGCTCGAGCTGAACGAGCGTCTCGGGGTGTGCTCAGTGACATTCAGCGCGTTCAGAGCCTGCATCATCATTCCAGCAGAATGTTTGAACACACTAAATCACATTATTCACTGCTTGCTGAAGAGATGCATTATTTAATATCAAGAGAGCTGCTTTCTATCAGCTGAAAAATAGGAGTAGAACTAGGTCGTTTTTAGTCCATTGATTCCCACTCTCTAAGCCGGCATGTAAAATACAAGGATGTTTTTTTCCTGATGCTGTATTGCCTACAAGCCTTCTGTCAGTGGGGATTTCAATATTAATGAGTTTTCCCACGAATATGAGAAGCCCAGTTAGGAGAAGAAGCTGCTCTGAGAAAGCTGAATATTTTACAATATCACACATCGATCAGTTGGCTGGGATTTCACGTTTTAACCAAGGAGTGCTTCTGAGAGATGCCAGGAAAGCAGAGCAGGGCCAGGTGTGAAA